ACTCTCTTCTGGCTTGTAGAGTTTCTGCTGAGAGATCTGCTGTAAGTCTGATAAGCTTGCCTTTGTGGGTAACATGACCTTTCTCTCTGGCTGCCCTTAGTATTTTCTCCTTCGTTTCAACCCTGGTGAATCTAACGATTATGTGCCTTGGGGTTGCTCTTCTTGAGGAATATCTTTGTGGTGTTCTCTGTATTACCTGGGGTTGAATTTTGACCTGCTTTGCTAGTTCAGGAAAATTTTCCTGAATAATATCCTGAAGGGTATTTTCCAGCTTGGATTCATTCTCTCCGTCGCATTCAGGTACACCTATCAAACGTAAATTTGGTCTTTTCACATAGTCCCACATTTCTTGGAGACTTTGCTCATTCCTTTTTATCCTTTTTTCTCTAATCTTTTCTTCACGTTTTATTTCATTAAGTTGGACTTTGACCTCTGATATCCCTTCTTCTGCTTGAACAATTCGAGTGTTTAAACCTGTGCATACTTCTCGGAGTTCCTGTATTGTATTCTTTAGTTCCATTAATTCACTCATACTCTGCTCTAAGTTGTCTATTCTCAATAGGATTTCTTCAAACCTTTTTTCAAAGTTCCTAGTTTCTTTACGTTGGGCTACAACATGGTCTTTTAACTCACCGAAGTTTCTTATTATCCATTCCTTGAAGAGTGAGTCTGTCATCAGGATGCGCTCGTTCTCCATCAAGCCTTGTTCCATTGTTGATGTGGAACTGTGATCATCTTTAGAGGGAGAGGCGTTCTGACTTTGAGTATTCTCAGCTTTTTTACACTGGTTTCTTCCCGTCATTGTAAATTTATCCTCCTGCCGTCTTTGAAATTACCAACTTTCAGATTAGGTCTCTTGAGTGGACGTCCAGGTTGTTAGTTCCCAGGGCCAGAGCAGCGGCGTTAAAACTGATGGTGCTTTTCTGCCCAGGATTCTCCTGTCGGGCTTCCTTCTTGTGTCGGTAGTAGGCGACTCTGCCTTCCCGGGGCTCCAAACCTCGGTCAGAAGGGGAACCGGTCCTGTTTACTCTGCGCCGAGCGCTCCCGCGCCGAGGTGCCGTCACAGCCGCTGCCGGGCTCTGGTGTCCTGCTGGGGACCCGGGCCGGTCCTCCGAACCTGTTTACTCTGCTCCGAGAGCTGCCGCACCAAGGTGCCGGCGGAACCGCTGCACCGGCCACGAGAGTCACGCTGGCCACCCGTGTGTTTCCTCCACTGGGGGATCTCCTGCTCCGTGAGCGACCAGAATTTGTCTGAAAGTGTGGCGTCCTCTAGTTCTCCGCGCCTTCCCTGAGGGCTGCAATCCCGGGATGTTAGCGATCGGCCATCTTGGATTGTTTCCCCCAAGTCTCTGCTTCTTAATGCCATACAGACAAGGTTCATTATGATCTGATCCCTACATTATGATCTGATTCTCTTTTCACTCCTCACCTTCTCCTGTTAAACCTGCCCACCCAGACTCTCAGAACACTCAGTTCCTTGCCAACCCCCTTCCCTCACACTCTGTACTCTGCCCACACCAGGCTGCTTTCACCTTCCCAGGCTGTCTCTTGTCATTTGCTCCTTCACCCTATACTCACAGTGCTGTTCCTGCCTGGAATGTCCTCCCATTGGCACATCCAGTGAAACTCTTCATTTATCCTTACTCAGTTCAAGCATTCCCTCTTCCATTAAGTCTTTCCTTTCCTTCTCCACCCCACCGTAGAGCCGCCTGCTCCTTTTGTTCTTCCCGGTCTCTCTAAAACAATGCCCATGTTGTCTTAGCTTATGGAGGGCAGGGAGCTTTGTCTTATTCATCCTCATTTCTCCAGCACTTTGCAAATATTTAGCATGTAGTAGATGTTCAATAAATATTTGCCTGAATTCAAACCAGTGATTACAGTACTATGTGAGGCATGCTGTGCAGGGAGTATGTAAAGAGTGTTTATAGGTACCCAGAGGAGGGGCGTGTTACGAGTACATGATGCGAGATCCAATGCCCAGGAAATGTGCTCGTCTTAAATATGCGGATGACCTTCCTCCATTCTTCATCACATATTTGAATCTATTTGCATTTCTATTCCCCAACCTTGGACTGACTATGGGAACATTTGTTGCTCCATCCCCATATACCTTTTCCTTTGTCCTCTGAGACTGTTTGGCCCCTGAACTCCAGCTGGGGCAGAAATCCTCACTATGGCAGAAACCTGGCCACCACTGCCTGTTTTCTCTCAGGAACAATACAGACAATTTTAGATCAACCCTAGTTGCCCTTAGCTGGGGCTTAGTATCCAGGTCTTCAGAGGCAGTCACTCTTGAATTTTACTACAAGTCAAACCCACTGTTTTAGTCAGACTACCTAGCATGTAGCTTCAGCCAAATTCTTTCTTTCTCTTGTCCTTCTCTCTTACTGTTGCCATCCCAGAGGGTCCTCCCCTAGAGACAGCTTGGGTTGCTTTGCTCATAGAACAGGTCAGGTAGGAGGAGATGAATGTATTTCCCCATTTGACATAATGGACTTCTCAGATGTTCGTTGTTCTATAGAAAGGTGGAAAGTGGACCACACAAAGCTGGATGCTCCATGGGAGTGCCTGTGGGCAGAGATGTCACCCTGGGAAGGGGCGGGAGCACAGAGGAGACCACTGAGCAGCAATCCACTAGAGGAAAACATTCATTTCTTTTAAGGGCAAAGGGATGGAACTGTGAATGAATTTCAGCAACATCTAATGGTCAAGCGAGTCTATAAACCAAGACTTGTTTCCCAGGCATTGCAGTCACCGTGCTACACTCAACAGGCTGCAGAACAAAGGCTGAAACAGGACAATGGGGAGAAAGAAAGGGGAAGTAAAAGGCATGTAATCAGATCAATCACCAGCTGGACTCATCTGCCCGGAAGTCTGTCTCTGGTGATGGCACCAGGAGACATGTCATTGGAAAGCCTGCCTGTGTGCTTGGTTGTCAAGCCTCAGCACCAGACACTCTCATTTCCTTAATAACAGGTTACAGATCCTGTAGCTATAAATTTCACTAAACCCTTCTTGACCTTTCCATATTTTTAGCCTATGCTGCTGCTCTGAATATAACAATGTCCATGAATGATTACTTGAATTTTACTTGAATTTTAATTTTCTGTGAATACCTTTATCTGAAGTTAAAAGAAATTATCTCTCTTGAGTTTGAAGACCCTGTCCTCTTAGTTCCAGTTTCTAGTGTTGGTAACAAATTCATGTGTAGCCCTTGGTACATTTTATCAGTTTAGGGGTGGTGGGGTGGAAGAAGTTTGATATCTCTTCTTAGTGTTATGTTTTTCAGATTCAAGTCTTTATATTCTCCATCTTTTCTTATACCATGGCCCATCAGGGACCTCATTTCACTTTTTATTTCTCTGGACCTTTCTTTTCTACCTCTGTTTAGTCCATGTTAAAATAGACCAACTAAGAGCATTGTGGCAAATACTCCAAGTGCAGCTCCCTGAAGGCTAGGCTGAAGCCTTTACTTCCTACTACCTTTTTTGGACTGCTCTTTTTAAAATCTTTGTGACTTTAACCTTAGGGCTAATGTTTCCAACAATTACTAAATGAAACTGTTTCTGTTAGCAGCACTGGCTTGTTTAGACAGGCATCTTGTAAGAGCAGTTTAGGGCCAGGCATGGTGTCTTACACCCGTAATCCCAGCACTTTGAGAGGCTGAAGTGAGAGGATCACTTGAGCCTAGGAGTTCAAGACCAGCCTGGGCAATGTAATGAGACCCTGTCTTTACAAAAAAAAAAAAAACCTGATTAGCTGGATATGGTGGTACATGCCTTTCACAGCTACTCGGGAGGCTGAGGTGAGATTGCTTGAGCCTAGGAGGTCAAGGCTGCAGTGAACCATGAGCCTGGGAGATTAAGGCTACAGTGAGCCATGATTGCACCACTGCACTCCAGCCTGGGCAATAGAGTTGGACTCTCTCTCCAGATAGATAGATAGATAGATAGATAGATAGATAGATAGATAGATAGACAGATAGACAGATACATGCATGCATGCATGCATGCATATGTATATACATACATACATGCATACGTACATATTCTGGCTGGGTGCATTGGCTCATGCCTATAATCTCAATATTTTAGGAGACTGAAGCGTGAGGATCACTTGAGCCCAGGAGTTCGAGACTAGCCTGAGCAACAAAGTGAGACCTTGTCTATAAAGTAAAATAATAATAATAAAGAAGAATATAATCTTAGATTTGTCTCTTATTATTTGTTTTACAGTTGTTCAACTTGACCTTACTCTCCAGCCTTACTGTGTATCCGAATTGCTTCTGTCAATTTGCATAATGAAATGCTAAATGTCACTGAATAATCCTTCTTCCAAGACACTTGTAAAAGTGTTAAGATTGACTCTATTTTTAGTATTTTTATTATTGGCAGTTCCATCCATGGGGCCAGGGAAAAACCAATCTCATCATCATAGGACGTTTTTAACTTTTCAAAGGGGTTGTACAGCTATTACCTCTGCTTTTTCCTTGGAAATCTGTAGAGAGGGAAGTTCTCATTTGAAAACAGAAAAACTGAAGCATGGAACAGTTTTAGCTATTTTACATAAATCATTCAGTGACTAGCAGATCTGGGATGCAAATTTGGGTTTTTTACTCTTAGTTCCCTCTAGAGTACCATATTCACCCTTTTCAAAACGTGTTCTCTTTTCTAACTGCGTATTTGATACAGAATTGCAATAATTAGCATTACCTCTGGAGCTCTTACCTAAGATAGTCACTTTGACAATTTCATTATGTCTGGGAAACTGGCAGCACATAGGTGCCAGGTACATCCTGGTTGCCTGAGAAGGTGGCAGCTCTGGGCTCGCTGCTGCAGGAGGATGAAGTCTCTGGTCTGCTAGTGCTTCACTGTGGTTTGGTGAGAATAGCCTTGGCTACTGATTTTCTATGTTGTCTGTGGCTAGGCTTGGAGGACACAGGGATTCCAAATGACTCTTCAAAGTACACTTTTCTAAGGCTGTTTATTCTCTCTTTTCAGAGTCTAGAAGGAGGCTCGTACCGGGGAAGCTTGAAAGACCCTGCAGGCTGCCTGAATGAGGGGATGGCCCCACCCACTCCCCCTAGAAACCTGGAAGAAGAACAGAAAGCCAAGGCCCTGAGAGGCAGGATGTAAGTGGCTTCCCCATATCCCTCCCTGGTGCACATGTGAGTGTGGTGGACAGGGGCAAAGGTTGGGGAGAATTAGAGAGGGGTTCCCCATGCTGTTTCTGCTGACATCGTTCATTCAATGTAAAGGAGACCCAGATCTGTACAGCATAGTACTGATAAATATTGAGCCGCTTTGGCACTGATATGACTGAAGTTTAGGCTGAAGTATATTCTGTGAGATAGTAGCTATTACTGACAAAGTGTGGCTATAGGCCTGTTAGAAATTTAAAACATGGTGATAAAAGGAAAATGGCAAAGTTGAGGAAACCATGAGACTATTACTGAAGGCCTATAGAATCAGAGAATCTCTAGCCATGGCAGAAAGTCTGACAGAGGCCACCCAAGAAATCACATCCCCAAATGTACGAGTTATATATAGAGGAAGGAGCTGTTGTACCACCAAGCAGATCCTGTCTCTACTCCTTCTCCAAAGGTTTTAATGTTGCATCTGTTTCTGGGATTAGTTCCAAGAGAACTTCTTCTCCACTTTGAATAGTTAGTGGTAAAATATAATTCATAATGCAAAAAAAAATCCATGTTATGCAAGAGTTATCTATGTGATATGAAGTCAATCTATTATTTGAGCTGATCAAGAATATACAAGATGCCACTAGTGCAAAAGCAGAATTCCTCCAAAACTTTCGTTTTTGTTTTTGTTTTTTTCTTTGAGACAGGGTCTTGCTTGGCCACCCAGACTAAAGTGCAGTGGCCTGTTCATAGCTCACTGCAACCATGACCTCCTGGGCTCAAGGGATCCTCCCGCCTCAGCCTCCGAAGTAGCTGGGACTGCAGGTGTGCATCACCATGCCTGGCTAATTACTGTATTTTTTTGTAGAGATGGAGTCTCACTTTGTTGACTTTGCTGGTCTGGAACTCCTAGGCTCAAATAATCCTCCTGCCTTAGCCTCCCAAAGTGCTGGGGTTAAAGGCAGGATCCACCGCACCTGGCCAACTTTTGTTTTCTTGTTTAGGGTTTGACTCTAAAACCCTAGAGTTTGCTTCTGTTGCAAGCAGAGCTACTAATAAGTCTTAGACATAGCTCAGCATGTGAGAGATTATAAGTAGTTGTGAGAATTGGAAAGGTAGGTGTGAAGGGTCCCTCCCTGTTGTTAACTAGCCTGCCCTTCTCTCTCAAATTCATCACTCCTTTAGCCTGGCCACAGACATGAAAACTAGCAAAAATAAGTGAGGCTAGGTCCTTCTGCTACCTGGAAATGTACAAAGTGTCTATTTATGACTATGACTTTTTGTTTCCTAGGAAACAAAAGTGAGACCATCATAGTGAAGGCCTGGCGTGAAAGCAGGGCTATCACTTCATAGTGGAGATGAACAAGTAGCATGTAAATCCTGTAATTCCATATTTGCCCCCTCAACTTTGTGAGTACTCAGGGGAAGCCCCAAGAAGTTGGTGAATGGAATAGAGGTTGAGAAATGCCATTCCCAAAGAGAAATTTCCTAGGACTTGTTCAAAGCTGAATCTCCTTAGTTTCTCAGGTTGTTGTTACTGATGAGGCAGAGTTGCAGCTGGTGTCTTAGTTCTTCGTCAAGCCAAAGCAAAGCTTAAGTCAGAAAGGGAACCTCTGAGGTCGCAGGTGACCTTGGGAAAGCCAGTCACTACTCTTAGCATGCAGCTTGAACTGGCCTTTAGGAGTCATTTAAGCCATTGCCCAGATACAATAGACCACAAAAGTTTACTTTCTCTTTTGCCCACTTTACTCATCTCTTCTCCCTCTTCCCATTCTTGCCAAAATCCACACTTCTCCACATCCTGAGCTGTCTTGCAAATGCAGCTGTTAGAGTGTCTCATTCCTCTTACTATGTCTCATCCTTATTCTATCCTGCTGTACTTTATGGCCCTGATGAAAGGGTGGATATACAGGTGTTTCACTATAAATATGTGAGGCCAGAGGCTGAGGGGTGTAGCGAACCGAGACTCAATCCAGAAGATGGCAGTAGGACATCAAAGGGTTAAATGACACCTGCTTGGAGAAAAGATGGACACAAGTAGTCATTTTTCCAGGAGAAGAAAGAAGTTGAGAATGGAGTTACTTGTCTTCAAGTTTTAGTCTTTCATTCAACAAATACTGATCAAACACCGGTTATGTACCGTCAGTGGGTTACATCAGTAAATAAGGCAAATGATAACAACAAAAGTCTTTGCTCTCATAAGTTTAAATTCTAGTGGGAGAAATCAGTTAATAAACAAATTATGTAGTTTGTTGGAAGCAAGAAAAAGAAAAAAAATAGAGCAGTGTAAGGGAGATTCAGAGAATAAATGAGGCCATGCTATAACTTTAAATGGCCCTGGCATTTGCATGGAGACCAGGGGAGGTAAGGAATTAGCCATGGAGAAAAAGTGTTCTCAGGAGAGAGAACCACCAGTGCAATGGATCTAAGGGATTTTCTGTGGAAGGCCAGCTATCCCCTGTCACTGTGAAAGGAGGTTAGAAGTGGTTCTAACCTGTAGCTAAAATAATTTTAGTTGGACCAAAGAATAACATTTGTTTGTAAATAAATTCTAATAAGAACTTATGAAAAAAATGCCTTGTCAATTCATTTGGCAATTAATTGTGCCCTGCCTTGTGATGCATGCAATTTAAATCCTTCATGTCACTTTTCAGAATGTCTTTTAGTATGTCATGATCTCCCCAGGTACTTCATTAACCCTTCAAGGGAAGAGATGCTAGGTCCACTAGCAGCTCCTAATACAGTTCCCTTTTCTAGAGGCTGAGAAGCCAAAGATAACCCTCATCTGTCAGCAAATAGCTTAGGATAAAAATATCTCCTGGAGACAGAGAGCTAGACTTCATCTCCAGAGGGCACTCCCAGCCCCACATTCTCACTCTAACTTTCCTGTGGGTTTTCTTTTGCCACTTTCTACCAGGCTTTAACTTGGGCCATGGTAAAGATATAGTTAAATGCTTTTATTTGCCTTGCCAGTTGCTTCCTGTGGCCTAAAACACATGATTGTCTGTGTTGGAGAGGGAGCTGCTGGAAGTGCTGGGCGCACTGGTAAAGAAGCGTGTGCTCCTCTGCTTCCTTCCTCCCCATTGCCCAGAGGCCCCAGACCCCAGGAATGTGGTGGCTTCTGGGGCTGTACAGAGCAAGAATTTCAGAACAATTACTTCCTGGTTTCAAAATGGTTACAACCCTGATGCTGGGGTCTCACTTTGACATCTCAGAATTTAATCTCTTCTGCTACTTGGGCCCAAAATGCAATGGTGTGGTCCCAGGCAAAACTCATTCAAATCAGATTGGAAGCATTTGACTCCAGTAGGTTGCACAGCACCACCTTGCCCCTGTGCACAACCATTAACATTTTATGTCAAGCTCTTTAGTGTCTGGACAGAAGACAGCAAAGAGTTTCTGGGTTTGGGTTTTGAGTTTGTGCGGACTCCCAAGAGCCAGTCAGAGTAGTTTACCAGGCAGGGGCTGCTGTGAAAGAGCATGGTCTCTGGACTCTTACACAACTGGGTTCAAATCCTAGCTCTGCTGCTCACTCTGTAATCGTGGTCAGGTTACCTAATCTTTCTGTCTCTGCATTTTTATTTGTATAAAATAGGCTTTATAATACCTACCTTATTATAAGCATGAGAAAACCCAGATGAAGGGAGTGGCACATAGCAAATGGTAGAAAGAATTAACAAAAAAGAAACCGAGAGAGCAAATGTCCTTGTAATTGTTAAATCCTGCAACCTGGAGAAGGCAGTGCTGCATTAAAGGTGTGATTTTGGAAAGTCTGCAGTCTTTTCTGGCCTTGACTGGGGCTTTTCCGGGCCAGTTACCATGGAAACCTATCTGAATAATGGCAGCTTCTATATCTTAAAAGCTTCATTTGATATCTATTCGTGCCTTGGAGGACTCACAGGTCGGTAATCAAACAAATGTCTTTCTCCTCTTGTTAAGTGAGGAGTGGAACTGAAATGAAGGAAGAGTCTCCTGTGCACCCCTTGGCCTTAAAGCTTTCAGAACTCCGTTTGCCAAAATTGTTGTCATTCTTTCTGCCCTCTGTCTGTACCATTGTTCAGTTGTAAGTGAGGAAGAAAGATGTGAATAGAAAGAAGAATGCTAGGTGCTGAGTGTCATTTTTCATCTGACTGCTGCATGTCATCCGGGGAAATCCTTTCTGGCCTTGGTGTCCTCAGCCCTTCAGTAGGGCCTCCTGTAGGGAGAGCATCCGTAAGCACCTTGCCCAGAAGATAAGTGTGGGTGTTTTAGGGGGTCTTGTTGTAAAGATGTCAAAGTAACTTTTCTGTGAACTTAAGTGAAGATTTTGGCTTAAAAAATGAAGAGGAACACTCATTGTTCTTAATCTCCTGCTCAGGTTTGTCCTGAATGAGCTGGTTCAGACAGAGAAAGACTATGTCAAGGATCTGGGCATTGTGGTGGAGGTAAGTAGAGGGTGTAGGGTGGGTCTGTGGTCATCCAACCAGGAGCACATTGGGCCCTACCTAAGCCAAGGTGTTTTAATCTGATGGTTACATGTACTTTACTCTGTGTAAGCAGTTGCAGAAATGAAACTAAAAAATGGTATTAAGTTAAATATGTAGGCAGTGTTTTTCTTTTCTTCTTGAAATAAGATATTTATTTATTTATTTATTTTTTATTGAGACGGAGTTTTGCTCTTGTTACCCAGGCTGGAGTGCAATGGCGTGATCTCGGCTCACTGCAACCTCCGCCTCCTGGGTTCAGGCAATTCTCCTGCCTCAGCCTCCTGAGTAGCTGGGATTACAGGCACGTGCCACCATGCCCAGCTAATTTTTTGTATTTTTAGTAGAGATGGGGTTTCACCATGTTGACCAGGATGGTCTCGATCTCTTGACCTCATGATCCACCCACCTCGGCCTCCCAAGAAATAAGATATTTAAAGGGAAATAGGGACGCAAATGTTATAACATTTTGGGGAGCCTCTTGGTTAGAGTGGAACTCATTCCACTTTGTTTTAGGGGACCAAGCTATTGTCTTAAGAGCTTTTCTTTGGTATTTATCTATGTGGACTTCAGAGCTATGAGCCATGTAGGCATAAAACAGGTCATTCCTTTTTTTTTTTTTTTTTTGAGATGGAGTCTTGCTCTGTTGCCGAGGCCGGAGTGCAGTGGTGTGAACTTGGCTCACTGCAACCTCTGTCTCCCAGGTTCAAGCAATTCTCCTGCCTCAGTCTCCCAAGTAGCTGGGACTACCGGCACAAGCTACCACGCCTGGCTAATTTTTTGTATTTTTAGTAGAGACAAGATTTCACCATGTTAGGCAGGATGGTCTCGATCTCCTGATTTTGTGATCTGCCCACGTCGGCCCCCCAAGAGTGCTGGGATTATAGGCTGAAGCCACTGCGCCTGGCCAAACAGGTCATTCTTTTTTTTCCTATTTTTTTAAGAGGCGGGGTCTTGCTATGTTGCCCAGGCTGGAGTGCAGTGGCTATTCACAGGTGCAATCCCACTACTGATCAGCATGGGAGTTTTGACCTGCTCCATTTCCAACCTGGGCCAGTTCACCACTCCTTAGGCAACCTGGTAGTCTCCACTCCTGGGAGGTCACCATATTGATGCCAGACTTAGTGCAGACACCCTATTGCACTACCCGGAACTCCTGGACTCAAGTGATCCTCCAGCCTCAGCCTCCTGAGTAGCTGAGACTACAGGCACGTGCCACCATGCCTGGCCAAACAGGACAATTTTAGTGGAATCGTAGGGTTTATACTTTTCCATAGATTTTAAGGATAAGTGTTATAGCTAGCAAGAAGACAGATGAAAGAACAACTCACCAATGAGCAAGGTTGATAGATCCACAGCTGAGAGTCAACTTGGTAATGCATTAAATAGCTGTAACTCTGTAGGGATTCACTTAAGAGAACTTAGACACTTGGATGAAAAAAGGCCTGAGAAAGTAAATGGATAATTTGGATAGCTTAGAGCCTTATTGTTAATCATCCTGAAAGAACATGGAGTCTAAAAATTCTATGCCTAATGCCTACACTGCCCGCTGGTTCCTTACATTTGGCCTGAATCCCCATCCTGTGAAATCTGCTGACTTAGGGTTTTGTATTTGCTTATCCTGAACCTTAGATAAGCAGATTAACCAGGCATATAGAAGATCTGAATTCTAAGTTATGGAAAGTTATTCTCATCTTTTTGTGGGGCTGCGGGGTGGAAGAGTTACAACAGTTTCCATATGCAGTCCAGCCCAGGAGTAGCGGACAAAAGAATCTGGAGACTGGGAGGCTGAAATGCAGGGAAGTGAGACATCAGTGGTGCGATTATGAGACAAGTCATCATCTAACACTGGGTGCCTGAGTTTTCTCATCTGTCAGATAGGGATAATGCTACCTGTGCCACCTTAAAACCTGATTTTAAAGCAGAAATGAAATTCTATATGATCACATTTTATAGAGTCTAAAGTAGTAACATATTAAGACTTTTTTTTTTTAGATGAAGTGTCACTTTGTCACCCAGGCTGGAGTGCAATGGCATGATCTCAGCTCACTGCAACCTCCGCCTCCCAGGTTCAAGAGATTCTTGAGTAGCTGGGATTACAGGCGCCCACCACTATGCCCAGCTAATTTTTGTATTTTTAGTAGAGATTGGGTTTCACCATGTGTAGTCAGGCTGGTCTTGAACTCCTGACCTCAGGTGATCCACCCAGCTTGGCTTCCCAAAGTGCTGGGATTATAGGCATGAGCCACCACCCCCAGCCATTAAGACTTATTTCTAGGCCAGACATATCTAGTTCTGAGCCTTTACAGACCTGATTAACTTGAATTGGGAGAAGGAAGAGGGACAGATTATTGTTTTCTTTGTGCTCTGCTTTGTTAAGGGAACTGGAGACAAAGAATGGGATCCAGAAACTTGTAAAAGTTTTGTCTATTGCTCTGCATGGGGGGTGGGGGTAAAAGGCCTGGTTGAATAGTGAGAAATGATAGAAGCATTTGTCCTCAAACTCCTGCAGAGAGTGTGGGCTCACAGGGATGCCGTGGTATGTGGCATGGCCCAGAAAGCTTTCCTGTGAAAATATGTTACTAACCATTGCCTTTGCTGCCGCAGGGCTTCATGAAGAGAATAGAAGAAAAGGGTGTCCCTGAGGATATGCGAGGAAAGGACAAAATCGTGTTTGGAAATATTCATCAGATTTATGACTGGCATAAGGAGTAAGTATGAATGCTGCCCCAAGGATCCAGTGTCCTGGGAACCCAGGACTTGAGTCCTCTTCCTGCATCTGACTCAAGGGGTAGAGCTTGGGGGAGAGTCTTCTGTCACTTACCTTATTATTGAGAAATAACACAGTTCTGAAGAATGTGGCTTCCTTCTCTTACCCTCTTTCTCCTTTTAGTTTTTTCCTGGCGGAACTGGAAAAGTGTATCCAGGAGCAAGACAGATTGGCACAGCTCTTTATTAAGCATGTGAGTGTCTCCCATCACCTCCTCCCCACTCCTTCACTAGACTCACTGACATTCACTTTAAAATTCTGGCCAGGCACAGTGGCTCACACATGTAATTCCAACATTTCAGGAGGCCAAGGTGGGAGGATTGCTTGAACCCAGGCGTTGAGACCAGCCTGGGCAATATAGCAAGATGCCTGTCTCTACGAAAAATTTTAAATTAACCAGGCTGGTGGCACATGCCTGTAGTCCTAGCCACTTGGGAGGCTGAGGCAGGAGGATCGCTTGAGCCTGGGAGGTAGAGGCTACAGTGAGCCATGATGGCCCCACCCTGCACTCCAGCCTGGGTGACAGAGTGAGACCCCATCTCAGAAAGTTAATAAATAAAATTTCTTCAATTTCTTCTCTTCTGCTGTTCTTGACTGACCTTCCTCCTCACCCCTGAGTATTTTTTTTTTTTTTAACCTTCTTGGTGATTTGGAAAGTGGCTCTTGCCCACCACATTTATATCCCTGATACTCAGCTGCCTTGGTGTGTCCCCAGGTGCACCTTTGTCCTTTGTCCACATGGAGGCCAGCACGGCACTCTGAGACTAAACAAAAGACACAAGATGCCTGACTCTCCACATGTCTCTCTGCTCTTTCAGGAGCGGAAGCTGCACATCTACGTGTGGTATTGTCAGAATAAGCCACGCTCAGAGTACATCGTTGCTGAGTATGACGCCTACTTTGAGGTAAGCTGTGCAGGCTTTGCTGAATTGGGGTGGGGGGAATACTCAGGCCAGGACAGCCACTTTCAGAAATAGCAGACAACATCCATCCACAGCTGCCTCAACAGAGAAAGTAGCTTCATAGCTAAATTCTCATGAGCACCTTCGCTTGAGAGGAGCTGGGGTGGCCCAGTCCGGTTCTGATTTGAGAAGCCCCCCATTTGCAGAATAAGCCTGAGCACAGAGACAGTTTGAGAAGCTCCAGTTCTTCTTAAGAGACCCTGGAGCAGATTGTGCCCAGCAGTCCCCCCAGGGACTGCTTACTGAGGAGCCTTCTGTTGGTTGAGGGGTTTGCAGCCTTCCTAGTCTCTGCTTGGTCTAGACTGTAAGGATTTATTTTGCTGGGAGAAGGGCAGCACCATCACTTAGAAAGAGTGCTCAGCTGAGTGTTTGGAGATCTACGTTTAGGGCCAGGCTCCATAGGCTTGTGTGTCCTATGAGAAGCCCCTTTTCCCTGCCTTTGCCCTGAAGCAGTGGCGAGAATAAGGCTCTTCCAGCTTGTCTCCCAGGACTGGGGTGAAGACCAAGGTGTGGAAGTACTTGCTGTAAAAGCACAGGAAGAAGGTGATGTGTATTATGTGCTGTTCATAACAGGTGAACAGTCATCTAGGCAATTTTATCTCTCATATTGCTTAAAGATTCTTCAACTTCATTGGAAAACATCCATGCCTTTGAACCCTAATTCAGAGCACCCCAGTTCTTCGGTTCCTTTTTTTGCTAATATCGCTTCTTGTGTTTCAGGAGGTAAAACAGGAGATAAATCAGAGGCTGACACTGAGTGACTTCCTCATTAAGCCCATTCAGAGAATAACAAAATACCAGTTGCTCCTCAAGGTAAGAAGCTGGGAGCCTGGGTCAGGGCTGAAGAAGGTTCCCTCGGGCTCAGAACAGGTTAGCAGTAGAACTAGGGGTTCTGCCTCCGCCACACTGTTCCAAAGGACTGTGAACTGTGGGACGGGTAGTGGGGACATGGGAACTTTCATCCATCTGCTGGTTACTCTGTCAGCTTTGCCTCCAGATAAACTGCATGGCTGTTCTCCCTGCCCTTTAGGTGGGTTGTTACTTGATTTTCTTTTTTCAATTCACGTTCTTTTTTTTTTGAAACCGAGTTTCGCTCTTGTTATCCAGGCTGGAGTGCAATGGCGCGATCTAGGCTCACCGCAACCTCTGCCTCCTGGGTTCAGGCAATTCTCCTGCCTCAGCCTCCTGAGTAGCTGGGACTACAGGCACGCACCACCGTGCCCAACTAATTTCTTGTATTTTTAATAGAGACAGGGTTTCACCATGTTGACCAGGATGGTCTTGATCTCTTGACCTCGTGATCCACCCACCTCGGCCTCCCAAAGTGCTGGGATTACAGGCATGAGCCACCACACCCGGCCTTCAATTCATGTTCTTACTTTGTCACAATTGTTGACTTGATAACTTTAAAAAATAATAAGAATATTAAATCAGAGTGAAATACAGGAAGAAAGAAAGGGAAAGGCAAGGCTTTAAAAACCTTAGATAATCAATACCTAAAATTATATACATATATTTGAGATAGGGTCATATATATACATATATTTGAGACAGGGTCTTACTCTGTCCCCCAGACTGGAGTATAGTGGCATAATCATAGCTCACTGCAGCCTCAAAGGCCTGGGCTCAAGCGTTCCTCCCTTCTCAGCCTCCCGAGTAGCTAGGACTACAATTGCATAACACACTTCCTGGCTAACTTTTTGTTTTTTGGTAGAGATAGGGTCTCACTATATGGCTCAGGCTGGTCTCAAACTCCTGGCCTTTCAAAGTGTTGAGATTACAGGCGTTAGCCACTGTGCCCGGCCTAATTATATTTTAAACAATGGTTTAACTTGATTCATCTCATGGCATTAGGAGGCTAAATAGAAAAGACTTAACTTTTCTTTCTGTCTTTCTTGTCACAATACCCCTTTCCTTCCATGCTCTCTCCCCCTCACTCTTCCTTCTCCCATAACATTGAAATTTTGGGGCTGGGCACAGTGGCTTATGCCTTTAATCCCAGCATTTTGGGAGACTGAGGCAGGTGGATCACCTGAGGTCAGGAGTTTGAGACCAGCCTGGCCAACATGGCGAAACACTGTCTCTACTGAAAATACAAAAATTAGGTGGACATGGTGGCAGGTGCCTATAATCCTAGCTGCTCAGGAGGCTGAGGCAAGAGAATCGCTTGAACCTGGGAGGTGGAAGTTACAGTGAACCAAGATCGTGCCACTGCACTTCAGCCTGGGCAACAGAGTGAGACTCTGCCTCCAAAAAGAAAAAAGAAATTTTGAATATTCTGGGATTTCTCTCTATGTTATTACATCTTACATGACTCATAATTTCATTTCTCAGCTACTCTAAACCATTGCCACCTCTGCTGGGAAGGAAAGTCTCCAGGGTGTTACTGTATTTTTATGATAAGTTTTTTTCCAGCTATTTTACTAATTTTAACCCTTCCCACATTCTTCCCTGCTTCCTCTACTTTCTAGGACTTCCTGAGATACAGTGAGAAGGCTGGTTTGGAGTGTTCAGATATTGAGGTGCGTTTTCTGCTTGTAATGCTTGCTGTTCTTAGGAACCATATTGGATAGCTCTCTCTAGAGGGGAAAAGATTGTCTCAGGAGGACCGTGGATCCAGATAGACCCCTCTCAGACACTAAGAGGCCCTGTGAACAGCTTCATACCTGCAAGTGTTAATGAACAGTGTTTTCTAGAACTCGAGAAATCTGTCCTGGGCTAGACTAGAGCTTAGCCCCACTGGTGTTCTTTTGGCTCGCAGTGACACATAGTGGGAAGGGGTAACCCTTTAATATCCTTCAGAGATTAGGTGTAAGTTGCACTAAAACCCAGTATGCAATTTTATTCATGAAGACAAGAATTATTTGAGTCAAACATACAAAGTATTTCATTTTCACCTCCCTATCCAAACTCTGTAGACTACTTAAGTGAAGTCCTTTGAGACAATGTCACCATGGGATTATTTTAAGCCAGAGAAGTTAAGACCATTCTGATATATTATTTTAGTTTAAAACCTCTAAGATTTTCACAAGCCAGACTAAGCTGTTGCCTGGGCAGCTAGGAAGCAACAGAGAGAAGAAAGAAAGTCTGAGAAGACAAGGCAATTGGTGAACAAAAACAGGAACATAGGGAAAAGAGGGGCTGAGTAACATTCCCCCAACATATGATCATTGACTGACATGGAGCCCCTGTGCTGAGGATCAACACTAACACTCCCTCTCTAGAAGAGAAAGGCCCACTCTCTCTGAGAGTGGACAGCAGGAACCAGCATCCTGCTGAATAAATAACCAGTGTCCTTCCTAGAATAAAGGAGCCACAAGAGATGAAATCCCTGTTTTCCAGCATTGAATTACCAAGAGCTTCCTGCCTGAATGCTGTTCCCCCTCCTGAGTGACAACTGTTCTTTCCCACAGAAAGCAGTGGAGTTAATGTGCCTTGTTCCCAAACGTTGCAATGACATGATGAATCTAGGACGTCTGCAGGGCTTTGAGGTGAGTCTTGAAGAATATGTGTAAACCTGCTCTCTCCAGAACAGGAGGAGTCTGAGCTGTTGAGGCTTCCTCCCCACAAAGCCCTGTGTCCTTCCTCTGCTCCTTCACTCACCGCCAAGCCTTCATGCCCAGGCCCCTCTGGTGCACAGTCCTGGAAGATACATCTCTCTAGGAAGTCCGGCAATAGGGAGGTCATAAGAAATTAGCATTTGGTCAGAATTCCAAGGAGATTAGAAAGACCCAAAGTGAGTTTTTTTTTTGTTTGTTTTATTTTGTTTGAGACAAGGCCCCACTCTGTCACCCAGACTGGAGTGCAGACTGGTGTAATCCTGGCTTACCACAGCCTCAGCCTCCCGGACTCAAGCAATCCTCCCACCTCAGCCTCCTGAGAAGTTGGGACTCTAGTACACATCACCACACCTGGCTTATTTTTAAATATTTTTTTTAAGACAGATTTTCACCATGTTTTCCAGGCTGGGAAAGACCCAGAGTTCTTTATGAGTGTTTAGACCTGTTAGTGACCTCTTCCTTTCCCTTCTTGATTGACAAATGCAGGGACTGTGAGTGACAGGAGGGCTATATGATAGAAGTAGAGCTGAGCAGGAGAATGGAACACCTATTTGTTGAGAGGGAGGTTCTAGCTTATTAGTTAAATGAATACTTAAAGCTCTAAAACATTACAGTATACAATCTCTTATTTGAAGAGGGGGATCAAGTCTGCAGGGAAATGGCTGTGTCCCAAAGATTTTTGTTTAAGTGAATATACCGATTTGCTAGGGCTGCCATAGCAAAGTACCATAAATTGGGCAGCTTAAACAACAGAGATTTATTGTCTCACATTTCTAGAGGCTAGAAGTCTGAAATCAAGGTATTGTCAGGTTGGTTCCTCCTGAGAGCTGTGAGGGAGGGGTCTGTCCTAGGCCTTTCTCTTTGGCTTGTAGATGGCTGTCTTCATGTTCACATGGCATTTCCTGTGTCTTTACATTCCCTTTCCCTCTGTGTTATGTTTGTGGCCAAGTTGTTTTTTTTTTTTTTCCAATATGGACGTGAATCATATTCTGTTAGGGCTGAGTCTCATGACTACTTCACTTTAACTTGGTTGCCTCTGTAAAGACCCCATTTCCCAACAAGGTCACATGCTGATAATCTGGGACCCTAGGAGCTAGGGCTTCAACAAAGGAATTGATGAGGGACATGGAAGGAGAGAAAACACAATTGAACCCCTAACAGTGAAGCTTCGAAGAGTAAATTGACTTTCTAATTTAAACCTAATAACTGTTATTAATTCATATCCAAACCTAATAAATTAACCACATATGGTATGTTTTTAAGATTAATATGATAATTATTGATTGGTACCTAGTAGCTGTTGATCCCCTTAGAGAAAGATATGGATCTTTTATTTCCCAGCAGTCTAAAACCTAAGCTTTCACTATTCCTTTTTGGGGCAAAGGGATTCCTAGAATTTGAGATAATTAAGAAATAAATGGCTTGTTTGTTTTTTTTTCTGGCTAAACTAGAATGGAATAGATACAAGACAGATATAATTGACTCATACTCATACCACTATATGAGTAATTTAGGGGATAGTATATTTAAGTTTGGATTCATGAGTTGGAGTCATGACAGTCTTGAGCCAAATTTCCTTCTCCTCCTTGCCCTTCCAGCCCATCCCGCATGTCCCTGTCTGGTTTCCATTCTTTGCTGTGGCAGGAACTATGTGGATGTTTCTTTTTTTAATGTGCATGTTTCATAGGCTCTTGGTCTTCTCAAGTAGACTAGAGGCATTAGCGTAAGCAGGGTTACTCGATAGACACACACTGAGTTCTTAACCATTTTTCTTAGTCGTTCTGGGTGCAGTTTTGTCCTTTTTCCATGGGTATTACATCAGGTCTGAGGCTATTCTGAACAAACCAAGAGATCCCTTTTGTACTTCAGCCTTGAAGACCCATGTTTTCTGAACAGGAGTCTGGCTGTGCTTCTCTGGGTCTCTGGAGGAAGTGACCACTGGCAGGAGGAGTGGCATCTAATTGTATTGTCTGCCCCGAGTTAGAGTTCACAGGAGCTGTGTTGTACATGTGCATGTGTGTGTGTCCATATAAGGGCACCCACATGCATGGAATCAAGTTTTAAGTTAAGCACTGTTGTCTCCTGTTTTCATCAAGCCACCAGAACCTGGTTTTTGCGTTCCTTCAGCCAACTGGGAAGAACAGTGAGCAAGTGTCTATTCCCTCAGCCCATGGCTTTGGGCTTGAGAGAATTTAGAGCCTCCTCTTTTAAATTCCCCCCCCCCCCATCCCATTTTCAAATCCTCTGGCTTTCCATTCGGTGCTGACTGAGCTATAACCCATGAGAGATTCTTGTGTAATATTAATAGAGCTTTCCTGGCTAGCTGGTCACTGGCTTAATATTAACTTTAGACCAGGGTAGAGATAAGCCTGTTTGGCTGCTGATGTTGGCAGTAAGGAGCCATGATCCAAGCAGAGGGCAGGTGCTTCTCAGGAACACAACAGAAAAATGACCCCTCTGCTGGGTAGTGTTTGGAATAAGGTATCACACGGAAAGAATAGTCCACACTTGCACCAAAGGGCAGAGTCGTCACCGGAGCAGGAGGACCTGCATTTCAGAGGAGGTCCACTGATTGCCGTCTCTGATGTCGAGGTCTTCTCGTTGCAAAGCAGTAGAAATGCAAGGCGCTCTGACAGATTCTGGGAAGGCTTTCTGAGTTGGGCCATATTCCCTTTGAAGCTGTGCACATGTCTCTGAAAATCTCATTAGAAACTGGCAAACCAAATAGGTTCTACCTCCTCACCTGGGTGTCAGGTGGCCTGGCAGCTGAAATATTTTATTTTATTTGTTTTTATTTTTATTTTATTTTATTATTATTATTATTTTTTTTTTTTTTTAGACAGAGTCTCACTCTCTCACCCAGGCTGGAGTGCAGTGGTACAACTTCAGCTCACCGCAACCTCCACCTACCAGGTTCAAGTGATTCTTGTGCCTCAGCCTCCGGGGTAGCTGGAACTACAGGCGCGTCCCATCATGCTCAGCTAATTTTTATATTTTTAGTAGAGACGGGTTTCACCATGTTGGCCATGATGGTCTTGATCTATTGACCTCGTGATCCGCCCATCTTGCCCTCCCAGCGTGCTAGGATTACAGGGGTAAGCCACTGCCCCCGGCCTGGAGTCATTTTTAGAAGAATCACAGGAACTAGAAAAGCATTTACCAGCTTATATAATATGGGGACTTACCTATAGTACCAACTCTACCTGTTGGCCTATAACTAGAAACTAAGATTTCAGAATTTTCCCCATCCTAAAATAATTGAAGAATAGAGGGGAGTGACTTATCAGAGTATTTGTGGACCTGCCTTCATCACTTCCCTTATACACAGGTGAATTCAAGATTCATGGCCGTGAGAATGCCCCAAGTCCTTGGACTGTACTGCAAAGGAGCTAGGCAGGCACAGCTCTCAGAGCTCTGAGGACAGGAAGGCCACTTGTAGCTCCAAGTGTCACCCACTTTCTATTGTCCTTTCAATAAAAAACAAGAAGGGCTGGCCAGGTGTGGTGGTTCACACCTATAGACCTAGCACTTTGGGAGCCTGAGGCAGGCGGATCATGAGGTCAAGAGATAGAGACCATCCTGGCCAACATGGTGAAACCTGGCCTCTACTAAAAATACAAAAATTATCTGGGCGTGGTGGCAGGCGCCTATAGTCCCAGCTACTCAAGAGACTGAGGCATGAGAATTGCTTGAACCCAGGAGGCAGAGTTTGCCCTGAGCCAAGATTGTGCCACTGCACTCCAGCCTGCCGACAGAGTGAGACTCTCTCAAAAAACCAAAACCAAACAAAAACCAACAAACAAAAACAGAAAACAGGAAGGGCCAGGATTATGACTTTCCAGCTAATAACATTACTTCCTGCCTTTTGGCGGCGTTTGCCTGGAGCTATTTCTCAGCAGTCCCATAGCTTGCTTTCCCTTTCCCTCCAGGGCTCTTGTGTGAACAGGAAAGTGGCCAAGGTTTGCCCTTGGATGAGTGGGTGGGTTCTAAGTCAGTCTCTAGAGCCCTGAGAGTTTTGGTGTCAGATCTGTTGTCCATATTCCCAGATGAGGAGGTTCTGTGGACCCAGAGGGCAGTGGCCATCTCCCTGTTTTTCATTCACTTCACCCCAGCCCCTCTCTCCTTCAGGGCACCCTGACTGCTCAAGGGAAGCTGCTGCAACAGGACACGTTCTATGTGATAGACCTGGATGCGGGCATGCAGTCCCGGACCAAAGAGAGGCGCGTGTTCCTCTTTGAGCAGATTGTCATCTTCAGTGAACTGCTCAGGAAGGGATCCCTCACCCCCAGCTACATGTTCAAAAGGAGCATCAAGGTGAGGATCCCAGTGGTGTTGAGAAGCGGCAAGGAAGAGCCCAGTTCTTGGGATGTGCTTCCCTAAAACAAGGCACTGATGACATCCAGAACACTGAAAATCTTTCAGCCTAATAACCTTCGGTCATGGAGGTTGAATGACAGTGATTATCTGTGAGCCAAAGTGACAGGCTGAGCCAGTCTCTAGCATGATCTTGTAGTTTCCCTGGGATCAGTCACTCATCCAGAGACAAAAACCTAAGTACTGGCCTGCAGATCCAGGGCAAAATTTGGAAGCATGTCCTGAAATAGAAACTTTGAGGAACGATAATGTGTTGCTGATTTTTTTTTAAATCTCTTAAATGTAAAAAGGATCAACTTGTTTTCTTCCAGATGAATTACTTGGTCCTGGAGGAGAATGTGGACAATGATCCCTGCAAGTTTGCACTCATGAACAGAGAGACTTCCGAGAGGGTCATTCTGCAAGCCGCCAACGCTGACATCCAGCAGGCCTGGGTGCAGGACATCAATCAAGTCTTAGAAACACAGCGAGACTTTTTGAATGGTGGGTCCTGGGCTTGGTTTCTTGCAGGGCCACTTCAGGGGACTCCACAATCTCTAAGCGTCCTTGGGTCTGAGCTCATGGTCAGTTATAAACCCAGATCACATTTGAAAGGAACTCCATCTTTGTAGTTTTCAGAAACACTTTAGAATTCTTCTGAATCTGAATATACAAGTAGAACACATGGAGTATGAAAAAGAAGCTCCATCTTTCCGATGGAAGAGATTTCTCTTTTAGGTCACAGGGTGTATGTCCTGTGGCCATCACTACTGCCTGGTACTGATTTGGGTAAAAGTCTGAGATAGGCACATCATCTGTGTCTTAGGGGCCTGCTAGAAATGACATGTGTTTTCCCAATTTTCACAGCTTCTCCAGTGTTAACTAGAGGTAAATGGGAATTTAGCCAATCAGTTCTAATCCCTCCTCTGCTCCCAACAGTGTGAGAGCCTAGGTAAGCCATGTTGCTAGTCACCCTTACTCCTTTTAAATGAGATGGTTGCTAACTCTAAATTTCTGTAGTATCCCGAAACTTCCTAGAAGAAATTCGTGGTTACACAGAGGGCTTAGCTCTCTGTGGCTCTTGCGGGAGTTCCCTCATGTGTGCTGTGAATTTGAGTGAAATGGAGTTGCTACTTTGTTTCTTTATTTTTTTCCCCTGCTGGGGTTTTCTTCACACGGAGCTTGGCACGGAAAGGGGTGTGCGGTTTTAAACTAGTGGCTGATCTCTGCTGACTTGGTTAGCTCAGAAGCTAACCAAGCAGAGATAGAGCTTGAGGATGAATGCAGAATGTAATTAGTAATGAAGTAAAGCTGGAGACCTGCAAGCACATATGCCTATATAGACACACAGACACAATACCAGCGTTGGGTATATCACCTCTTCCTCCCTGTCCTGAGAGCAGTACTACATGGCCATATGTGCTCAAATGAGTGCACACATAGGTACACACACATACATATATACAGGCCCACCCTCGGGTGTGTCAGCTTTTCATGCCAGTACTAGGATCTAGACTCCTTTAGTTGATCCAAACAGCGTTTTCTGGGTGTCTAGAATGGAACGGAATGCTGAAGAGAAAGATAAAAGGTGACATATGAGTTGAGGACCTTGGGTAAGTCATGACATTTCTCTGGCCCTTGTGGCTGGTTTTATTAAAAAGAGAGTTCAGGTAGAACTACTCTGCCCATGCTGGCGTGCACCATGATGGGCCAGTCTTCCTGGAAGCAGGAAATATCATGTCCTCCCTACAATATCAATTTCACTATATGATAAGGGATTTAGCACAGTGTAAAGATGAATAGAAGGAGATCATGTAGCAGGATGCCATGACTTTTTAAGATAGAACATGAGGCTTCAAAGCAATTTTGCACTTACAGGAAGTATTTTGGGAGCAGGCCCCTGGCCCTCAATTGCAAAATATTTTGGTAAAAAACAACTAGACTAAGTGATCTCTAGGATTCATTTTACTCTAAAACATCTAAACTTAAATATCAGCCCAGCCCTGAGGGATGGTAGTGAAAGTTGTATATGGTGTATGATTTCTGAATATACAACTTTGAATGAACACTTTTGTTGATAAAATAATTTTATGCAAAAATGTGTTCATATATAAAGTACACCCATTTAAATTGCATTCTGTTAGGAGTTTCTGACAGATTCTAAGCTGAAATGAGGAATTTAAAAATTCGTCAATCTGGGACAAAAGAAAAATAAAGTACACAAAATAAAAAATGAAGTAAAAAATAAAATAAGTTGAAACAAGAAGTTATTGACATAACAATAATGACTCCCATGTATTGAATCCTTGTTCTGTGCCAGGCACTATGCTAAGCATTTGACATGTTTTTTCACATTTAATCCTCATGTCAACAAGGAGAGGTAAGTACTATCATCCTACTTTTTTCAGATGAGAAAAAGGAGACTCAGAACTTGTCCAAGGTCACAGAAACAGTAAGTGATAGAAACAGGAATTGAATCTAGAGCTATAGGACTTCAAATTAAGGTTTTGAACCACAGAATACAGTATACATGCTAGTGTTAGGGCACTCATTTATTTAACTATGATATCCCTAGCAACCAAAGTGAAGAAAGAAACAGGATCAGACATAAGACACTGTATAGATCAGCCAAAAAAACAAACCCTGTAGGGATGCACAGTTTTCTTGATTCTGAGACTAAGCTATGCAAATTGAGGCTGGTGAATGAATACAGGCTATTTAGCTTATTTAAGAAGGCATACTTTTTTCAAATGTTTTAGCACAATCATTGTAAATAACCAGGTAATATCACAATTCCATGTGATGGGAATTGATCCATAAAATCAGTTTGATAAAGCCTACTTTATAACTCTGCTTTGTACTTAGAACTTGGAACCGTATTTCTTTAGGCATAGTCAATGACTGAGACCTTTATGTAGTTCCAAGAGAACTTTCTCCTAATTACGGTGAATCACAGAGATACCATCATCCCTTGGTATCCACAGGGAATTGGTTCCAAGGCCTCCCGAGGATACTAGAGTCTGTCGATGCTCAAGTCCCTCAAGGAAAATGGCATTGTGTTTGCATATGATGATCTATGTACATGTACATCCTGTATAATTTAAATCATCTCTAGATTGTTTATAATACCTAATATAATGTAAATGCTGTGTAAATAGTTGTTATACTGATAACAGTTTATGGATTGACAGACTACAACCATCCTTTCTCCCCCCATATATTTTATTTATTTATTTATTTATTTATTTTTGAGACAGAGTCTCACTCTGGCGCCAAGGTTAGAGTGCAGTGGCATGATCTCAGTTCACTGCAAACCTCCACTTCCCAGGTTCAAGAGTCTTGTGCCTCAGCCTCTCGAGAAGCTAGGATTACAAATGTATGCCACCATGCCTGGCTAATTTTTGTATTTTTAGTAGGGATAAGGTTTTGCCATGTTGGCCATGGCTGGTCTTGAACTCCTGGCCTTGAGTGATCTACCCACCTTGGCCTTCCAAAGTGCTGGGCTTATAGGCATGAGTCACTGTCCCTGGCCCTTCCCATAAATTTTCAATCCAGAGTTGGTTGAATCCATAGTTGTGGAACCCGCAGATACAGTGGACCAACTGTATTACTAAATTAGGTTATCTCCTAAATACTTAATGCCCACAAAATGCTCCCCAGTGAGAGAGGCTGTGCTCTGGCAGGCCTGTTGTTACTTTAACACATGCAAGAGACAAGGATGTGATGATGGACCAGAGCCAGGCTTCTACCTACAGAGATGTATGCAGGCATCTCAGAGCCAGCCTTTCCTTCTGAGACCTCAAACAGAATGGAAGTGTGACCCTATGTTAAGTCCTATTGAGGTATGTACCTATCACAGTAGAAATATTCTTATAATTGATAAGTTCTCTGGGCCCCAACTGTTAACGCACTTAGTTTTTACAGTGCAAACTGATAAAAATGACATAATTGGGCCAACCCTGGAAGTCATTCTTAAAGAATTGGACCTGTATGCCATTTGCCTGGTACTACCTCTTTAGTTCTCAGACCTTGCAACCAAACAAAGCTCCAGTCTTCCCCTTCACATCATCTTGTTCTCTTGTCTTCTGAGTTCCACTGACTACTGTCCTCTGAGTCTCCAAACCTGAGCCATCCTCGATCCTTGCATTGCTTTTCCTACCTAGGCTGTCACAGTCTCATCTCTCCCAACCTCGCCATGCCCTCATCCATTCCACATCCCCCTGGTCCCGCTCTCCTAGCCCTTCTGCCTCTCGCTGTTACTATTCCACAGCTTCTGAATTCGACAAGAAGCCTTCTGTCTCATCCTCTCCAGTCCCTCCTCCTAACCACTGCAAGGTCAGTGTTCCTCAAATGTGGCTCTGATGATAGACTCTGAATTTAAAACTTTAAAGTTCATTCAATCCAATTACTTTTCATGACCTTCAGAATTCGGTCATGACATTCGGTTAGACTCACTGGCCTTACTTTCTAGACTTTTCACACCATGGCACTTCCCGCTTCCCAGACCCTTCTTGTTTCCCCTTCCTCCAGGGAGACCCAAGGCCCTAGGCACTCTGACGACTTCCTGTTTCCCTTACCAACACATCACACCTGCTTCCTTCCTGCAGCCCAAGTGCCAGAGTCTGACCACAGCTCTCTTCCAAAGCTCTTTTGTTACCACCACCACCAAGCACATATTAAAGAGCCTTCTCTCTCTTTGCACTACACTTAGTGCCTCACATATGGCACTATTTTTTTTTAATTTTTATTATTTAGGTAGATGTCTTAGTTCTCACATTGCCTTAAAAACAAGGGCAGTGTTTTTCTCACTTATCCACATGACATCTAACACAAAGCCTTAAACCTAAGAGACCTCCAAATCCTTGTGGGATTCCCAAAGCTTAGAGTAACCACCTGCTGTTATCCCACAGCACTGCAGTCGCCCATTGAGTATCAGCGGAAAGAAAGGAGCACAGCTGTGATGAGGTCTCAACCTGCCAGGCTTCCCCAAGCCAGTCCCAGGCCCTACTCCTCTGCTCCTGTGAGCTCAGAGAAGCCCCCAAAGGGCTCCAGCTATAACCCACCTCTGCCACCCCTGAAGATACCTACCTCCAATGGCAGTCCAGGGTTTGAATACCACCAGCCTGGGGACAAGTTCGAAGCCAGCAAGGTAAGTGACAACTCATTATTCCCATCCTTGCCACTATGAGGGCACAGCCCCAGGAGTTACTTTAGGAAGAGACAGAGTCTCAGTCTGTCACCCGGGCTGGAGTGCAGTGGCGTGATCTCAGCTCACTGCAACCTCTGCCTCCCAGGTTCAATCAAATTCTCCTGCCTCAGCCTCCCAAGTGGCTGGGACTACAGGCACCCCATCACACCTGGCTAATTTTTATATTTTTTAGTAGGGATGAGTTTTACCATGTTGGCCAGGCTGATCACAAATTCCTGGCCCCAAGTGATATTCCCATCTCAGCCTCCCAAAGTGCTGGGATTACAGGCCTGAGCCACCACACCCGGCCAGGAAGTAGCATCTTTTACTGCTTGCTGATTCTTTGAGCAGGAACAGCCCAGTAAGTACAGTCTAGTCTCAATTATGTTTTTCTTTCCCTGTAAATGGGGTGAGTTATACCAGTTCCCTCTGGCAATAAAAAAAATGGATGATTTTTGCTAAATAGAATAGTTGTGGTGTGGATCATCTTGATCTAAAAGCCACTGTTGTGGTGCTTGACATCTTAAAAAGAGATCACCCTTTCTACTGATGATCTACGTTGAGCGCCTACTGAAAGAAGTTCACAGCTCTTCACCATCCATTGGCTGATGTGGAAGGGAAGTCAATCATCAGCGTGTGAATGGCAGAAGTCCTGCTTAGATTAAATGTTTTTCATAGATAATCTACAATTCAAACATCGCCATAAGGAGAGTCAAAGACTCAACCATACACCTAGTCTACACAGCTATTCTGCCCCTGCAAGGTAGGTAGAACAGGAGAGAAATGGAAAAATGCTAGATTAGAATCAGGCAAACCTGGCTTCGATTCCCAATTCTGCCTCACTTGCTTTAGAACCTTAGCAAGGTGGTTAATCTCATTAGGCCTCAGTTTCTCAGTTTCTTCTTTTAATCTCATTAGGCCTCAGTGGCTCTATGAATAGAAACACACTTTTTAGCTACATGTTCCAATTTCATAGTTTTATTTCTCTCCAAAATTATTAGTTATATTGGTTATATTTAAAAAATGATTGATGTTCAAGTTCAATCCTGTGTTAGAGTAACTATACCAACTTGTTTCATCACATCACCTGGAAATGATTTTCCACCTTACAAAACAACCCTGCCTTTTTGAGTAAGTTGAAATCCCTTTGGCATTTTGTCGAACATATCAGGCCAGATGTGGTGGCTCACGCCTGTAACCCCAACACTTTGGGAGGCCAAGGCAGGAGGATGGCTTGAGCTCAAGAGTTCAAGAGCAGCCTGGGAAATATGGTGAGAACTCGTCTATAATAAAACTTTTTTAAAAAAATTAGCCAGGTGTGGTAGCACACACCTGTTGTCCCAGCTACTGAGGCAGGAGAATCACTTGAGCCTGGTAAGTCGAGGCTACAGTGAGCTATAACTCTGCCATTACACTTCAGCAGTGACGTAGCAAGACTCTGTCTCAAAAAAAGAAAAAGTATATGCGGGCTGGGTGCGGTGGCTCACACCTGTAATCCCAGCACTTTGGGAGGCCGAGGCGGGTGGATCACGAGGTCAAGAGATTGAGACCATCCTGGTCAACAAGGTGAAACCGCATCTCTACTAAAAATATAAACAATTAGCTGGGCATGGTGGTGCGTGCCTGTAGTCCCAGCTACTCAGGAGGCTGAGGCAGAAGAATTGCCTAAATCCAGGAGGCGGAGGTTGCGGTGAGCCGAGATCGTGCCATTGCACTCCAGCCTGGGTAACAAGAGCGAAACTCTGTCTCAAAAAAAAAAAAAAAAAAAAGTATATGCTGAAGAATTTGTATGTATATACATACAGGATATATATGTATATACTATATGTAAGAATATGTATGTACTATATGTAAGATTATGTATGTATATACATACAGAATGTGTATGTATATACTGAAGAATTTCTGGCTCTTACTATGCTCTATGAGGCAGCCAGGCCTCCTAGGGAGTTGCAAGTCTGCCTAGAAGCAGTTGCCCTGCTGCAGACTCTCATGAAAAGATCATAGGCAGCATCTCTTGTATTAATGAGTAGGGGACGGTACTTGGTGCCTTCAGAAAGTTGGGTGCATGTAGGTCCTGGCCTTGCCTTTGAATTGGGCAGAGGTATCATTCTTAGTCTTGTCTCAAAGAGGGTCAGAACATACAGTAAAGCCAACACATTTTCAAAAAGAAAAAAATTTAATATCAAACGATCCATGTTCTTTCCACTGAAGGATTATAACCCCTGACATGACCCTTGTCCTGACCTCACTCTGCCCAGGTGCTTACGTATCCCTATGCCAGTGCTAGGTTCTTCCTTTCACTTGTCAGAGAATGCTGGCTGGAAGGTTGTATGCTAGGAAGGGGCTTCCAGGTCGAAGGTATGTTTATACCTCTTTCTGTGCTGGAGCATATTCACCCTGGATGATAATATTGTTGATACTTAAGGTTGCTATTAAAAAATACACTTTCAGAGCACATTTATTAATATTATGTCATTACTCAAGAGAGAATGCTGCCTGCTGCTTACCCTGCTTACCCTGCTAGTGGGAGATTTGGCCTTGAACCACCAGGTAGGGTGCAAAGCAAGCCCATGTGAGCTAGCATCCTTGTGTTTGTGTCCTTCACCCTTGTCACCCAGCAGAATGACCTGGGAGGCTGCAATGGGACCTCGTCCATGGCCGTGATCAAAGATTACTATGCACTGAAGGAGAATGAAATCTGTGTGAGCCAAGGTGAGGTGGTCCAGGTCCTCGCCGTCAACCAGCAGAACATGTGTCTGGTGTACCAGCCTGCCAGCGACCATTCCCCCGCCGCCGAGGGCTGGGTCCCAGGCAGCATCCTGGCACCCCTCACCAAAGCCACAGCAGCAGAAAGTAGTGACGGGAGCATCAAGTAAGTGCCTCGTTGGCTTCCCTGGGAGAGGAGTATGAGGATTAAAAATATTCAGAAACAAACAAAAAAACACAAAAGTACAAACACACGGTAGGGAATTACTGCTGCTTGTTCTCAACAGTGCCACTGAACCAGTGTTTGAGTGCTGGAACCACGCGCAGCGTGGGGCATCCAGGCTGGAGTGGTCCCGTTTTTTTGTTGGTGGTGGCAGTGATTTTTATTTCCTTTTATTTTGTAATTTTCTGTTTATCTTTTTCCCTCTTTTTCCCCCCACTCATAAGAAAAGAACCCTACTGAAACCCTAGGTGACAAAAGATGTGCCTTCTGTTGCCACATTTGACCCACCACAGGACTCACTGGACTGGACTTCTATTTATATTGTATTAAGTAACTGATATATATATGTATTTTTGATTGACACCAAAATATTACCATGGCACAAATGCCAGACCTGTAAAGGTCAGAGGCCCGCTGCTCCTCCCAGAAGGGAGGGAACTTTTGGTTGTCTGTGGCAATTCTTCTGTACAGATTGTAACTTTTTAAAAATTCCCCCCACCCATCACTTGAATACATGTTCATAGTAGTTTGTAAGATATTTCTTTTCCTTATTTTGGTTGCAAAGACCTTTCCGAACACATTCCTGTATAAAGTATTTTGCACTATTTAAAGAAACCCGTATGGATGAAGTCAGGTTGTGCAATATGATGGCGTCACGATGCTCATCGTTGTACCTGTAATGTAACTAATCAGTTTAAATGTACTATTTTAAATATGTAAAATAAATTTTCACCATGAGCATGTTTTAACGAAGTTAAAGACTAGTTGACCCTTTTTCCCCCATTTCAGTAATGTTGGACTTTCAAATGTGCAAACAGTTCTTCTTTTCCTCCTCTTGTTCCCCCTCCTCCCACTTCTGTATTTTAGGGCTTGGGTGAATGCGTTGGCATTTTGTTTCTACACAACAAGTGCCTTTGTTGCTAAAGCTCTGACCCTGCTCTTTCCTCCTAAACAGCCCCTGTTGGTTTTCCCTAATCTCTGAGATGAGGGAAGGTACAGATTCGATGCTCTCCAACTGGTTCCCAGCAACTGGGCAGCCCTGAGGTGCTGACGTACATTAATGACCAGAGTAGAAGGCAGTGCTTGGCTGGCATTCTCTTCTGCCTTCCATGCTGCATGGTCATCCATGGAAGGAGTGCAGGGGGCTCCCACAAGCTGTCTGAGCAGTGACACCAGCAGAACTGCACTGCGCTGGGCCTCTCTCTAGGTCAGGAGATAGCAGCTACTGACATCCCCCTGGCCTCACTAGGTAACTTCAGGGCCAACCGAAGATTCGTAGTGGCCCCTAGGGCACAATAGCCTCCATGCATGTCATCCTAAGTACACATGTTTTGGGTGCCTTTTAGGAAGCCTTGGGATAAAGGCCCTCAAAGCACTGAAGTTTTTATTAATCAGGGACTTACAGAGCTAATACTTAATGATGTATTATCTAAATATCCATGCACTAAACACTTCTTCCTCCCTACCTTTGGTTCTGTTGGCCACTTATTCATACCTTCCATGGGAGGGAAGATAAAAGGATGTCAGGCTGGGCAAAAGAAAACAGACTGGAATACAAATGGGTCATTTTGGTTTCTTGTCAACAGCTCTTACACAAAGGCTGGGGGTGTGTGAGGAGGGGAGCGATGGGCGGAAAGAAACTGTCAGTATTTACCAGTGGAGGACACTCAGCACATGATCCCCAAGGCCTGCCATAACCACAGGGGTCAGAGTCGGTTGTGATGCCTACAGGATAAACGTCACTGAAACCTTGTGTCCACATCGGTCCCCAGGCTTGCAACCCAGAGATGAAAGCTCCCCAAACCATGATGACGAGTTCTTCTTGGAAGAAGAGTGTGAAACCAGGCCTGCCCTGCCACTTACGCTACTTTGAATCTTTCTTCTGAACATGAAATGTTGTTAATATTTCTAGTTTTTCACCAAGCACATTAAATAACCCAGAGAGTTTAATAAATGTAGAAACACACCCCACATGGATGCATACATACACAGGGCTGCCTGCCCTGGGAGTCCTTTCAGCAGGGATCTCCCTGACTCGAGTTGTTCTCAGAAGGAGCCAGGGACGTGGATTTGGGAGTAAAGTTAGAAAAGTGTGAAGTTAATAGGCTGATGCCATCTAAGATTAGCTTCTATGGCTGGTTCTCACTCAGATACAGTGGTTGGAGCAAGGTGCTGGTAGGCAGGGGACAGTAGGGAGCCTGCTAGTTAGGAGGTTCAAGAGAAGATCTGGGCTTTTGAAGGAGTCCACTTTCCCAAAAGATTCAAAAATATTACTGTGACTGTTTTTTCCTGCTCAGAAGGTTGAACCTTTGTGTTAGGGGATAAATATTTTTGAAACACCTTTCTCAAAATATCCTTAAAACCCTGATGTATGTGGAGTATTGTGGAGATGCTCTGTATTTTGCAGCAGCTTCCTTCTTCCTAAATCTCCCCTGCCTCTCTCCCATAATGGAGGCTCATCTCATGCAGCCCTCTCTGCATAGGCCCACCTTTGACAAGGAGATACTGAAGGGAAGCCACCACTTATTCCAGACAGTGAATAGAACTTCATTCAAGCTTTGTGACCTCACCTGAAACTGATGGTGCGTGCTCAGGGTCACTGACACTGCTTGTGACTTGGCTTTTGGTACCTCTGTCTTTGAGATCTGGTATTTACGGAGTGTAAGAGCTCTGCTCTGGGCCTGTCTTCATAGGTCTATGAAGAAGTAGCTCCCAGGACCCTTTATGGGAAGAAAAATGTTAGGATGAAAGGCCTATCGAAAAGCCATTGCTGCTCTCTCCTCCCTGGGAGTACACATTAGGTCTTGTCCTAACAGGGAAGCTCAAGGACCTCTAGAGGCTGAAAGAGCTATATACTCACAAAAACTGAGTGATACGGAAAATACAGACTGAAAAATTCTTTGCCCTAAAATATCCAGATAAATGAGTGGTGCTCAACTGTTTATTAAGCAAGTGCCTTAGAAAATTCTGTCTGATCAGCATTGTTTGGGAGGGGCCCTGCCCAAGTACAAATCATGAGGTGGAACTCTCAGCATCATCCTTTTGGGTCTTTGTGTCTGGTCCTGGGAAAGTGGCAGTAGCATATGCATTCTAGAATATACTTCCCTTGTCTTTCCTGTTCTACTCCTCACCCCATTTCCTCACCCATCCACCATGCCTTTCACAAGAGGAGTTCCTCAGTCCTGTGAGGCGTCATGGGTATGGTATACAAACTCCCTTGTTAGAGTTTAGTAACCTAGCATTCGTATTTTCTTCAAATGCTGCAGTCAGCCTTGCACATCTACCAGGAGAGGTCAGAGTTCATCCTCGCTCACTTCCAGCTGGAGGCGAGGTCAGCTGCCAGCCACCATGGGTGTGCAGGTTTGAGGCCTCTGAAGCCTGGGCTTGATGGAGCATCTCACCTGCTGACTCACCCAAGGGTGGTGAGCCCAGCCTGCCCACAACATCACTGTCCCTGACCTACCATTTTGATTGGTGCATTTTTTGGTACAACAGGAAGTCATGTTCATGGCATACTCTACGCATGAGAAAGCGGGCGGAAGTGGAGAACACGGGTAAAAATGAAGCCACAGGGTCTCGTAAACCCAAGGATATTCTGGGCAACAAAGTCTCTGTTAAAGTGAGTAAGGTATTCCGGAGCTGCGTCCCCACCTGTCATCTACTCCCACCCTGCAGCATTCTCACAAGGCAATTTGGGTGGATGGGACTTTTTTTCCCCCAGTATGGGGACCAGAGGGGGAGTAGTTTAGCAGGATTTTGCATGCAAGATCAATTTATTTTTTATCTTTTATTTCTCCTGGCAACTTCGATTCAAGTAAGTACCTTTTTTTTTTCTTTTATACCTTTCTCTTTGTACTGTGCAGATGTTTTACAGCAAAATTATCTGCAGCATTCTCAAAAATGTGAGATGCTTTATTCATATTAAATTTCTCAAAGCTGCCATTTGGTACCCTAGGTTTGAGAATACACACAGGTTAAAGCGATTAGAGATGCCTTCCAAACCCCCAACCCTGTGAAGGCTGAGGTTTGGAATTTAAGGGCCACTGTGTCCTTAGTAAAGTTTCATTTCTTTTCCCCAGAGTTCAGACAATGTCAACTTCAGGCCATTTTACTTGCCTTTCCCTATGCATGGATACAGTAGGGGCCACACTGGTGAGGCCCAAATTATTTCTTTATAATGATCCATCTACTACTTTGAACTCATGAATTCTAAGCTTGGCAGACTCTTATTTACCCCCATCTTGAAACAATTTCATCTGCTTTCTTTAAATTGGATCCTCCGGAACAATCTGCCTCTGGACAATGGAAATTAGACACTGATTATTATATCACTATTTGTGCTATAATGTGTGATCATCTGCCTGATCATCTACTTTGTTTCCCTTCCTGAGCAAAGTAAGAACAACTAAAACCCAGTCTAACATCCTTCTTGGGGAAAAGAAATTGTATGCTCTCCTTCACTCTCATCTGGGAAGTCCAGCCTCACAGAAGACAACAGTTTAAATTTGACAGGGCTCATGCTCCATTATGCTTCCATTGCTGTTTCCCATGAGATAAGCAAGTTGTCCACAACCCTGGCCTTCTCTCCCTGAAAAGAGCATGCTGCTGCCCCTGGTGATTCTCACCCCCACTTTAAAAACACCTGGTTTATTCTCTGCCCAATATCCCATTGCCCATGCTTCTCTGAAGTTCTCCTCTCTCTCTAGCAAAAGCTACTTGTGTTCTAACTGTGTTCTCTTTCTTCCCCCTTCCTCATGCTGCCAATCAAGGAGACGAACAGTTCCGAGGAATCAGAGTGTGATGATCTTGACCCTAATACTAGCATGGAGGTAGAAGCAGCTATTGTTGTCCTATTTCCTACAGTGATTGCCTTTTTCGCTATGTCTATGACAGTGACCTTGCTAAAATGACCAGCCATTCAATGATAAATTGTGATGTTGTGGGGGAGGGTCTCTGGGTATCCCATCCCAGCTAAAAAAGAAACAAACAAAAACAATGTTTGTAGAAAACTCTACCTAGATTTTTTTAAAAAAACAAAAACTTGTTCTCTTGAATGCTTGCTAAATATCTTCTCCTTTGGCAGCTTTGGCTTTATATAGAAAATATCCAATTTCATTATTTGAAACTTAGAACACATTTTTTCATAGAAAACAGTGCTATCAAGAGTGTGTGAGTCCCAGCTAAGTGACAAGGACTCATTTCGTGTTTAGTTTCTCCCTCTTTTGTTTTCCCTTCTCCCCTTCTTCTTTCCCCCTTTATTCTCTTCATCTTGCTCTTCTACTAGGTTCTATCCCCCCGTTAATGTTCCAGCAAAATAATCGGTGAATTATGGCACCTGGTTGTTATGTAGAGCTGATTTATAGCAAATGAGGTGTGATTGTAGCAACTCCAGAGCACACTTCAGCCCAGTGCTGGGCCGGTGAGCAGTGGCTGTGCCCACCATGTGAAGGGAAAGAAGCCCTGGGGAGGGCCCATCTCCTGGAGCCATGGCAGAGGCCTCTCCAGAGACTGTGAGATGAAAACACTGCCCAGGGGACTTTTCTCATGCTCCAGGTTTACAGGGATGTGGGAGTGGACCCAATGCCTGTATCAACAAGAATACCCATTCCACTTCCAACTCCCAGTCTGTTGGGTTACAGAAACATGGCTCTTACGTGGTTTGCCACTGACTGACAACCATGATAAATTTACAGACCCTAGACAATGAGGGCAAACCTGGAGCTGACTTTCCTTGCCACTTTATCATTCAGAGTAAATTGTGATGTTTTTCTCCAAATCTATGCCTCCATTCCCGGTAATGGGTACAATTTAGAGATTTAAGTTCAAAATAGACAACATTTCTTAGAAAAACTTTTTCTTTGTATAGTCCCAAACATTTCACTTAATTAAATGGACTTTTATTCTTATTCTAATTTGACCTAATCCCAAAGAAATCCAGCACCATGTTATTTCAGCCACCACAAAACCCAAGAGAGACCATGAGACCTAAAAACTGGTAAGTCAGCTGCAGAGGGAGCCAACTGAGTTGAATCAGGCCCAAGGCAAGCAGTTGACAGTGGGAGTTCTCCCAGGATAGAATAGTACCCTGTGAATGTGAGTATTGTCACAGAGATCAATCTGTAGGTGTGGCTCAATATATACTCCACTATGGGAGAAAGTGGATGTGGCATTTCTAGCCTAAATGTATCTTGGAGAACAAGGAAGCCAGGGGAAATGTCAGGCTCTGTTTTCCTTGCATTTCATAGGATAAGCACCTGCTAATCTGGAGCTCACACCTGTCAGCTTTTAGATGCCGGATGGCACCTGTATGCCCAGACCTAAGTGTTGCCAGCACATATTATAGACGTCAGCTGCAAGTAGCAGAAGGCCAGACAGAGGCAAGGGAAAAGCCAGGTATCTGTGTTCCAGGAAACAATTTAGGCCCTTGTCCAGTTCTCGTGGACTGGGGGAGAAGAGTGGTGTACCCACTCTGTAGGGAGAAATGGCACAGAGGGATGTGGGGCCAGGTTAGCAGCGCACATTAAGAAAATTGAAGGCTCTATTCTGCACTTAGATTAAAAGCATGTGTGTGCACGTACGCATCTTTACTTTGCTAATTGAACACGTTTTAAAGGTTCTTATTTGTCTAAGGTTTTTAGTCCTTTGCATGGGCTGCGTGGGATGGGTCCTCAGGAGGTGCTAAGGAGTGCATGAACAAAGACATTAGTGTATTCATGCCGAACAGAGGAAAACCAAACATTGTGTTGATGCATGTCCAAAAAGTTTTCAAATACAGGAGTTGAGACACAAATTTTCCTTTAGGCACAAACTTTCAAGTAGCTGGAACCTCAAGGAGGCATGTTATGTTGTTGGAAGTTGCAAATATCCCCAGTACATGTGTATGCAGCCCTTATGTGTTCCATATACAGCCTTCTAAACTTCAGTGATTGTCTTTTGGGTTTTTCTTTAATGTAGAGTCTCTGTCACGCAGGCTGGAGTGCAATGGTAGGACCTCAGCTCACTGCAACCTCTGCTTCCCTGGCCCAAGGGATCCTCCTGCCTCAGCCTTCTGAGTAGTTGGGACCTCAGGTGCATACCACCATGCCCAACTAATTTTTGTAATTTGGATAGAGATAAGGTTTCATTATGTTGCCCAGGCTTGCCTTGAACTCTGCCTGCCTTGGCCTCCCAGAGTGCTGGGAGCCACTGCACCTGGCCTAAACTTCAGTGATTCTATGAATGTGTTGCCAGCTTCAAATTAATTTTGAGCACATGAACAAGTCCAGAGGGAAAGCAGGCATCTTGGCCCTGCTAGTTTGGCATTTTCAGAGACAAATAAATAAGATACAGAAAGTCAACCTGTTCAACATGAGTTGAGAATGTTCTCAAGGCCTATGTAAGTAGAATCTTACTGCAACGTACACTGCAGAAGAAGAAAACGGCCAGGAGTGCATACTGAAGAGAGAGGCTACCTTAAAGATCCAGATTGAAATACAGGTGGGCGGGCCACTACTTGAAGGCCTCTTACTACTAAAGTGATCATTTGGGGCATCATTTCCAGACCCAGCCTGGCACCCAACCTCACCCTTGTCTTCTGAACTTGATGCTGCAACTGGCATTGTCTCTCTGGGAGTGTGTCCAGTACCCTTAGTGAGCTGAACCCTGTGCTGAGAGTGCCTCCATTCCTGGAACCCCAGCTGACCTAATGGGACCATGCACCCTGTGTGTTCACCCTGTGCTAGATGTTAAATCCTGCCCCACTGACTGACTCTCCTTAACCTGAGGTCAGCCTGTTGATCCCAGTCCTAGCTATGTACAGGCTGTTATCTCCTGCCTGCATGGGAAATGATGTCACCAAAACATTCTTTACTTTTTCTCAGTGGGTAGACTGAACAGTTCCTTTAAGGGAAGTCTCCTGGGGTCTTTACTTACACACTGGCTGCTTGCAACCTTCAGGCTGGCATTTGTCCCACCATGGTGTTTTGGAGAGATATATAGGCACATCCTTGAAAGCTAATTAAGAGGAAAATAAAGCACCTTGAATCCTAGGAATCAGATTTATAAAGCTTTCCAAGAATACCCAATTATGTAAAGGGAAGTAATTCTGCTCTAATGTTAACATCCTTTTCCTTCCCCGGCTTCTGAATGTTTTCAAGTACAATCCCCAACTCCAGCAGTACATGCCACACCAGCACCATTGCAAGACTGGCTCTAGGTCTGTGCCATCCCCTCGTGGCCAAGTTTCCTGATGATCTGTGACTGTACCTCATGGAGAAAAGTGCTAAAAATGATGAGTATCATCCATAGTTGGGCTTACTTATTTACCTTGCACTGATTGAACTTTTGGGTAGGGGTGAAAGGGGGGCATCATACATTAAAGAGATGTATCTACATGGAAGAAGGGTCAAACCAAGCTGAAAACCAAGCACAAGGGTGCCTTAGGAACAGGTTAATAGTAATTCATTTTTTTCCAGTACAGGTTAGACTGCCGAGTGCCTTTTGTAGGGCTGAGAACCACGTGCCTGCCCATCAGCTTCTTCAGTCTTGCTTCTGGCCCGGTGTCTGCACTGACACCCCAGGCTGGATCCAGGCCCACGTGTTCAGGATCAGCTTCTGGGCTATACTAGATTTTTCCTAGGACCCAGGTGAGACAGGTTTCCACCTCTGAAAAGTTGTCTGAGGACTGTGTCAATGCTTGCTTGTGTTTTTGCACCTGCCCCCCCAGCCCCAGAACTGCCACCTGCCTTGCATCACAGGATGGGGTTGAAAGACATGAACTAGCCTCCGTGACTTAGGCCTTCAAGGATAAGGATTCTCAGCCCGTTTTTACACCACGCTCAAGTAATTACATGTATTTTAACCAAAGCAAAACAAAACCCAATACCTCTTGTAGCAGAGAAAGTCAATTCATCAGAGTAAGAAGTCATTTCAAAAAGACTTCGCCTCTGCCCCAGCCATTCAACGTGGTATTGGTCTCATCCACAACACAGACTAAGTGCAGACATTATCCTCGGTTATATACCAACCACCAGATATTTATCTCAGGGAGTCAAAAACAGTGTTGGGATCTTCTAGGAGAGGGCTCTGAAAGATGAGAGAGAGAAAGCACTTGGGAAGGTGAAGCTGATTTTGGAGGAAATTTTCCATTGGAGTAAAAATGGAAATCAACGGAACCTTGGAAACATTTAATTAATCTCTTCATTTATTTTGTTGTTGTTGTTGTTGTAGTAAAATATACATAACAAAAATTTACAATTTCAACCGTTTTTAAGTATGCGATTCAATGGCATTAAGTCTCTTCACGATGTTGTACCGCCATCACCACCATCCATATCCAGAACGTTTACATCATCGCAGACAAATCCTTTAGTGAACCACTAAACGAAAGCCCTATTCCTCTCCATCCCTGCAGCCCCTTCACCTTTAACAGAGCCGCAGGAACTTGTGCTTTTCTGTTTGAAAACTAGAAGGTGCTCTAGTTTCTGAAGCAGCTTCTGGTTTTCCTGGTTACTATTCCCCCACCTATATCATCCTGCAGCAACTTGGAGTGCCCCATCTCCAGGTTGGTTTTAATCTAAAACACAGATCTTGGCAGTTGAGGAGACCTGTCTCTTAGTGCCAATTTTTCTGCATAAGTGTGTCATTCCATTTTCCAGCTCAATAAAAAGGAATATCATTTCTGCCCATCTTGGCTTTCCAAGGCTGAAGTGTAATTTAAACAAAAATCACACAAAGGCCATATCACATGAAAAACTGGAACCGAAGTCAAAAACCTGGACTCTAGTTTGGACACAACCGGCTATGTTAATGTGGGCCAGTTAGCCTTTCTAAGCCTCAAGATCCCCTGGAA